GTACACGCCTGTAGTAATCTTTTTTTTTTTTTTTTCTTCATTTGGGGGTGTTGTATGCCATCTCCTTCGCTAATTCCTAGGTACTTATAAAGCTTCATCATGCTCCAGTTCCCTAATCTTTGTGACAAAATCTAAATCTATTAAGGGTGTTTCTGTAATTCTACCTTTCTTGAATGTTACTTTTTATGGTGATTTATCTAAAAAAATCCATTATATGTCGTCACTGAAATATTTTTTTTAATATTGAGGAGGCCTTTCAACTCATTGTCGTCTTTGGCAAAGAGTTTGAGATCATCCATGTAATAAACGTGATTGAATATTTTCCATTTATTTTGTAACCATAGCTACTGTTGTTCAGTTCATATGTAAGAATGGATTCATTTAAAAAAAAAATGAAAGGGAAAGAAAATTCTTTTTATAATTTTGATTTTTTGATTTACAATTGGATTCAGTTTTTTGGGACTCAAAATTTTATAAAACATCACCCTGTGGATATATTTTTATCATTCTTGCAGAGGTATATCCAACAGTCGTTTGTTCAACACAGACGTAATTTTGTTCACATTATGCATTTGTGTTTTTATTCAATTTAAATACAATTGCTCACTTGATCTGATTTTATAAAATCATTTTTAGAGCAAATATCGATTTAAACACGAATATAAATATTAACTGTTTTACTTTTTTAAATTTATGAAAATTTTTCCAACTTTTTTTTTCCATTTTATTTTTTTATATTGAATTAATTTTTTGTTAAATAACTCTTTCATTTACAAATCAAAAACAATTTAACTGAAAATTTATTGTTCAAATTTCTTGATTGATGGAATTTCAATTACAATTTGAGTGATTTAATTTTATATTTCAATAAAATTTTTTACATTTATATATAATATTAACAAGGACGTCCTCCATCTTTCTCAAAAATTTTGATTTGAAAATTTCTCGTATCATTTTGGTTTTTTTTAGCTTTTTCTGTCTGTCTTTAATTTTGTTTTTTTTTATTTTCTTTATATTTTTTTTTTCAATTTAAAGTTGCTTCTTTTTAAATTCTATTTGCGTATATGGACAGTTATTTTCTTGTGATATTTCCCGTTAAGTTATGTGTTAAAAGTGTTTTTAGGTATTTGAATTGTATGAAAGAAATTTTCATATGGATTTTTTATAATGGTCTCTTCTGAAATTTTATGACAATTACTTGCTTCATTAACAACAATGAAATGTCATTTTCCTTCAAAAATTTCAAAAGAATGGTTTTCAAGGAATTCTTCTGCAAATATGTCTCATTGAATTATGACTCAAGTAAATTTCTGAAATAAAGAAAGTTTTTAAGAAAGAAAGAAAGAAAGATCAAATTTTGGGGAAGAAATATTTCGTATTTCATTTTTTAAACTCCAGTGATAACATCCTCTGTCGCATTCCTTATTTCTACATTCGATCTCAATAGAGTTTATGGTCATGGGTCATTTTGTTTTATATTTAAAATTATCTTATCTAATTTTGCCTTTGAAATCTGTTAAACAAATGTCCCTACGACATTGGCAAAATGTTTGGATTTTTAAAAAGGTCTTATATCATTTCCCACCGTATCTTTTCCATATTTGGTATGTCTGATTGGTGGTTTTTTTGATGGAAAATTTCCAAAAAGTGAAAAAAGATGTCATATCATGAAATTTTTATAAAAGAATTTTCCATTTCGTTCGTTTATTTTTTTAGTTTTTTTTATTGAGTCACTTCTTCCAAGGTTTGAGTTATAACCAAAGGATTTGAAAAATTCTCTTCGTCGTGGAAGAGTTTTTTTATTATTTTTATTATTAATGTTTTTTTTTGATTATTATTATTAATTTTTTAATTTGATTTCTGGTTTGTATATATTTTGTTTCCAAAATGATGATTTTCTTCTGATTTAATTTCAGAAATTTACATTTATTATTTAAATTTCACAGACCAATTAAAAAAAACATACGCACACTACATAGACAAATTTTTTATATATAAAGAAAATTCGTTAAAAAGTTGGGCTGTAAGTATTTTGAACAATTTTTATATTTCTTTATTAAAAGTATTATTATTATAAACTTTTATATTTAATGGGTCCATTTTTCATCTTAAGAAAAATAACAATGAAATTAATATCAAACAGCTCATTTTTCAATCTACATTTGTATTAATCAGAAAACAAAAGAATGTACATTTATTTCTTTTAATTTTTGCTTTGTTTAATTTCGGATATCAAAATAAAGTTTAAATGTTTAAAAGTTCCAAAAAATGAAATAACCTTAAATTTTATGAAATTGAACCAACTTTTTTAATCCCTTCCATTGTCATTTGAATTAATTTCACTGTTAAAATAAATTTTTAGAAAATCTAAATCAAATTTTTCATCCAATAAATATAACGTTGACAGTAATACGATTTAATGTTGGACTATTAATTTGTTTGTTCTTTTTTTCCAGGTGCTGAAATTTGGATATGAAATAGTGTGGATAACGTTTTGAAATGAGTCGATTTTCCCCCAAATACTTTTTTCATCAAATGTGAAGCCAAATTTGAACAAAATATTCTTCTAAAAGTTCAAGTAAGCAGAATTAAGAACTGCAATTATTTGACAAAACCTATTTCAATTTAATTTTTAGAACGGTATTATATATAAACAAACTACTTAATATATTATTTACTTTTTTTACATTTGGCTTGAATAATTGAATCAGAATAAAATGGATGTCCATTGAATTTAAAAAATTTGTTCACGTCATTCATTGGTGAATTTTCTCCCATTCTTCTTGGCATTAATCCCAAAGGCCTTGAAGATTTAGTTTGTTTCGATTTGGACAAGAAATTACTGATACCGCCTAAAATAAATTTTATTTTATTTTTTAATAGTTTGAAATATAACAAATGACTGAAAAACATCTTCATCCCCCAGGATGATCGTTTTTTGTTGCTGTTTAATTTTTTTAAAAAATTTTATCAACCATCATGCTGTCAGTTTCTCGATATTTTTTTTGTTGAACAAAATTCCAAAGAATTTTGATTTTTCAGTTTTTAATCCTCAGTTTGGGCAATTGCAACGATAATTTTTTTAATGAGATCAGGACTTTATGCTGGTTCTTCATCTTCATCCACAGATAACCTTTTGGTTATGGTAATTGTTGATTCACCGTTACATGACTAATTACGTTTCTTTTCTTAATCTAAACGTCAATCTATTTTTAAGGCACGAATCCAATTTTTCATAATGTTTATTTTCCGTCATTAAAAACAATTGTTTTTCTATGTTAATCATAGCTTTTGATGCAACCCTACCCCATTATGTGACAGCCACCAAATTTTATCGTCTCTGTGACATGTCTTGCAAAAAAACATCGTTATCTTAATTATATTCTATTGAATTAGAATGTAAGTGTTGTGGATTCCGGGATGAAATCCGGTACCAATAAATAACAAACGCCAAGAATGAATATAAGAAAATAATAAGTATAATAATACAAACTGGTAATGCAGGTTAGTAGTTCCAGGAATACGGGTTAGTAGCAAAATATATATAAAGTCTTTGGCATTGAAGCATCGCTGTATGACTTCTTACTGAGTCTACGTGCTTGCTCACGATGACTCTTGCTCTGTTACATTCTTCTGTCTGTCTGTTTGTTGCTTCAATTTTCAGTTACTCTCGTCTCTCAAATAATCACTAGCAGTAGTATATATATATATATACTGGGTGAGTCTATTTGTGTAAAAAGGGGAGGACACCTCAACAGTAAGTTTATTTTACATTCATCACTAAAAATAACTTTTTGTCCCTATTCAGCGTCACATATTTGATTTTCTTTTGATCATTTTAATCTCTTTTCTGGTGCTGTTTGATTAATGACTGTTTTTTTTTTATTGTTTTTTTTTTCGGGGTGGGCTGTTCAACTTTGTTTTGTAATACTCTACGTACTGTATCAACTGAAATCTCCTTTCCAAGTCTACTTTCACTCCTTATTTGTCTGGCTATTAATTTTGGATTGCCTCTATTGCTTTCATCATTCTAGTCTAACCTTTGTGATTTTTCTGTTTTGTTTGAACTTCAAACACATCCAGTCGTAGCAAACGTCTTTTTGGATGGTTTGAACCCTGTTTCTGGAAATTCCTAGCCATCTCTCGTTGAGTCATCTTCCCTTCAAATTCACAACATCCATCTTTGTTTCAGCAGAAATTCTTGTCATGATTTTAATTGCAAAGCAATCTAATCTTTCAACTTAGTGAGTTGCCAAATAAACATACAGTCAAAAAGAGTTATGTCCCATGCGTGGATACACGCTTAGACGATCATGTATCATGACTGACGAGGCAGATTTTTTCCCGCAGGGTTACCATTTCTTTCTGTGGTAGACCAGTTGCCATCCAAAATAAAAACCAGTTCAAATGCTATTTAACCATAGCTGGGGAGGGAGAAGAAGAGAATTTCCATTTTGTATTATCACGTAAGTGAATGTAATGGTTTCGACTGGAATTCGAACTCGGCTCTACGATTCCTCAATTCGACCTGCTATTCATTACTCCACCGTGCCCCCAAGAAAACATACACTCATTCTAATAAAATGGAACAACCCCTACTTAGAAATGTGCAAGTTATCATTACTTTATCAACCTTGATCTTCCAACAGTTTTGCGTGGCCTTTTTTCAACTTCAGTCTGCTACCATACGGTGCCTACGAAGACGTAATAACTTAAAGAAAGCTGCATAATCATTTTATTTAGTTCCCCCCCCCAAACCTTTTGCACACAAGTGTATATTAACAACTGGAAAAGCAGTGACACGGACAGGAAACTCTGGCAAGCCAACATCCGAGGGGGAACATTACAATCCAAAGCCAACGGTTCCGCAGAAGAATAAAGGAAAAGGGAAGCTTGACAGCAAGAACAATATCCTGATCTTTCACCGGTAATAACGGGAATGCGGAAGAACGATCAAAGCCAAGACTGGTATCAGTAGCCACCTGATAGATAGATAGATATTAGATAGATAGATAATAATGATAGATAGATAGATAGATAAAAATAGATATGAACAGACTGAGATAGATAGATAAAAAGATAGATAGATAGATAGATAGATAGATAGATAGATAGATAGATAGATACCTATTTCCCTGGGATAGATAGATAGATAGATAGATGTAATAGATAGATAGATAGATAGATAGATAGATAGATAGATAGATAGATAGATATGAAGATAGATGGGATAGATAGATAGATAGATAGATAGATAGATAGATAGATAGATGAAATAGATAGATAGATATGAAGATAAAATTAGATGGATATATAGATAGATAGATAGATTTTATATATATATAGATATATATATGAATATATAGACTGAGATAGATAGATAGATAGATAGATAGATAGATAGATAAATGTAAAAAGACTGAGATAGATAGATAGATAGATATTTAGATAGATGAGATAGATGGATAAATGATCAGATAGATCAGAATGAGATAGATATGAACAAATCTGTATGATAGATAGATAGAATGATAGATAGATAGATAGATAGATAGATAGATAAATATTATATAAACAAAACTGACATAGATATGAACAGAGATATATATATAGATTTATAGATTTATATATAATAGATAGATAAAATAGATAGATAGATAGATAGATAGATAGATATCCAATAAATAGATAGATAAATAAATATTGATATATATAGATAGATAGATAGATAGATAGATAAGAACAAACTGGGATAGATAAATAGAATAGAATAGAATTTACTGGTGAAAATTAAAGTCATAATGGTCTATTTTCTTCTCTAGGCAAAGGTTATTCTGTTTTTTTTATAATTTCTATATTGAACACACTTCCCCATACATATAACAAATTTTAAATATACAAGGTGTCCCCCCAAAATTGACATCAATTTGTTGTCTAATACCATAGCAAATCCTCGCTCAAATGATCTCAAATTTTAACAAAATGATTGTGCGAACTTATCTACAAGGAAAATAGATTGAGCGTCCTAATGATAATGACAATGTACTGCTAAAATGGCACACTACGTTCACCTGACTTGACACCTTGTGATTTTTCTGTCCCCACAATTCCTTGACGTGTGTTGTGCCACGGGGGTGGGGCGTATATTGAACATTTGTGAAATTGGTTATAAAATCTATATCCCTTTGAATATTTATTGTTCAACATGAAGTTTATTTAATTTCGTTTGCCTGGAACATGTAGTTATTCAGATATTCACATTTTAAATAATGCAAATTTTGGGACACCGCATGTTATATATATATATATATATATATATATATATATATATATATATATATATATATATATATATAATACGTAAAAGGTTAATGGTCAAAATTGAATCAAACCAGGAAACAGTAGTAATAAAAAAATAAATTAATAATACATTTAAAACAATAAAATAAAAGTAAAATAATATATGAAGAGCTTTAATTTTAAATATCAGGAGGTCTTTTGATTCATCTGAAAAAAATTTTTTATTTATATATATATATATATATATATATATATATATAGAGAGAGAGAGAGATTCACCGATATATAATTATCTTTTAAAAATATGATTCTTTCGCTTACATAAGAGTTCTCATGTTTCAAAAACAAGAGCCAAAAACTTCAATATAATTATTGAAATTAAATTGAATCAGTTCAATCAGTATCAAGCCCTCTTTCATTCTTGAAATTTATAAGCATGTTCATTCGCAAAATTCATTACTATGGAAACGACAATTTTGATAATTTTTTGATTTTTGGCATACGAGTTTAGTTTGTATCAAGATATCAGTCACCTTCGGAAAGAGGTCAAAAGGAAGAAAAATGGTTAAAATAATTATAATTTAAGCTTTTACTTTGTATGGAGCACTGTTTTTTACTTTTTAAAAAAAAAAATACTAAAGAACCCCCAATTATTTGCCTAACGTGTTCTTTGCTATTTTCTACATATTTGCACACACACACACACACACACACACACACACACACACACACATACACACACACACACACATACACACACACACACACACACACACACACAAATATATATATATATATATATATATATATATATATATATATATATATATATATTTAAAAAGTTAAAGATATGAAAAAACGAGAAAAGCTTTTTCGTGTAACGCGTTTCGTCCTTGAGGACTTCATCGGAAATGAGTCACACGAAAACTTTTTCCATTTTGTCTTAAGTTTTTTTCCCAATATTGTTCTTGATATATCAAAATTTATATATATTATCCCATATATATATATATATATATATATATATATATATATATATATATATATATATATAAGCAAATATATGGATATAGATCCGACAGTATGAAGAAAAATATACGGAAAAACAAAACAAAAATCCTAATATGCAATTATGCTGTTTTAATGTTAATATAATGTCAACGTCGGACGTTTCGGTCTAATAGACCATCTTCAGGACATATTCATAAAAACATAATTAACATTAGACCATATTCAATTCAACATGAAAAAAGACGTGGACATATAAGTGTTAGATCAAAATAAAATTTTTTCGTTTTTCATTCAAAATACTCAAATTTTAGAATATGTTTTTCACAACATCGCCCATGTGACGACGACGTGATCATATTTAAACGGAACGCTGATCTTATAAAAGATTTCAGTTATCTCTTTGGATTGGTCTTGCTTTTATGTCCATCGTCTTTTTCATGTTGAATTGAATGTGGTCTATGTTAATTATGTTTTATGAATATGTCCTGAAGATGGTCTAATATACCGAAACGTCCGACGTTCACATAATTGCATATCAGGATTTTTGTTTGTTTTTTCCGTATATTTTTCTTCGTATATATATGTATGTGTGTGTGTGTGTGTGTTTTATATTTCCATCTCGCACATTTATAAATCTACCAATTGTCCCTTCATTGAATATTGCTGCCATAACTAGTCTAGCGCTCTTGCTATATATCTTGACATTATCGAAAAAATTCACAGAAAGATCTGTAATGTCCGGCCACTTTTAAGCTTCGCGATACACTCATACACACTTCTACGCAGTAATGCACTATCACCGTTTCGTGTTTAAAGCTCTCAATGAATTTCAGCCCTTGACACACCAGAGAAATTGGATCACTGCTCTTTTTTTTCCTCTTTGGTGAAGACTGCTCGCGGAGCGGCCATGTTTACACTGTAACAGCAGCAAGAAAACTGGCGTGATCAAGCTCAAACTTTGATTACATGACCACAAAAGTGCCAACTATAAGCGCGCATGAGCAGAAGTCAGTGTGACAAACCTCATCATATGTTATGTTTGACTTAACCTCGTATAATGAAACCTTTTTTTTAATCAAGAATATGAAAGAAAATAATTTTCGCAAGAAATAAAAAATGTCTCCCTGACACAAAAAATAAAAAAAATTTCAAAAAATGATAATGTAGAATTATTTTTTTTTTTACAATGATGTTCACCCTGTACAAGGCCCAAGATCTACTCGAGGTAGAGGATTACAGAATAAGAGGTTAATATTGCAGTGAATAGGGAAGCATCCTCTTGGGAGTCGGAAAAGATACTCGAGTGAAATGTACATCTCACCAATGAAATACGAAGAGAATGACAATAGTTCACGACAATGGGCGTGGTACAGCGCGTCTTAACCATGAAGCTTAAAAAGTGTGTTGTATTTGACGTAGTTCATTTTCAAGTTTTGAGATGTATTATTTGTGTATTATACTAGCAAATAATACATTTCCCACAGTCAAAACATATATATATATATATATATATATATATATGAGAAAATTAGTTTTAAAGTGTGCTATATTTATGGGATTAAGTGCTCAATATCAGAGATTGAATGTATGTAAATATAAATATAAAAGTGAACATTGAAGGCGGTCTGACGATTGTGTCCAGCATGAAACAGCCTGTCGCTTCGGAGTTGACTTCAAAGTTCACTTTTATATATATATATATATATATATATATATATATATATATATATATATATATATATATATATTGGTGTTAATGTTTATAAACCAAATAATGTGAGGGTTTTTTTACATCTGTCAGTTTTTTTGGGGTTTTTTTTTTTGGCATCATTTTCAAACTATTTAACTAAACGACGTAAAAAGAAGAAGAAGGAAAATAACAAGTTTATTGTATATGTCAGGTTTTTTTTTACATCTGTCAGAGTTTTTTTTTACATCTCTGTAGGGATATTTTTAAATCTGTCATGTTTTTTTTACATCTGTCAGAGTTTTTTTACATCTGTCAGTTTTTTTACATCTGTCAAGAGTTTTTTTTTTTTACATTTTGTGAGGGTTTTTTTTACATCTGTCAGCCTCAGAAGGAGAAATCAGAAAGCCGAGTTCAAATTCCATTTGGTTTCGTTTACACGCAAATACACTTGGCAAAAACATTCATCTTCTCCCTCCAGCTATGGGCTAAATTGTAAGACTTGTAGCCGAAAAAAACATTGTTATCCTCAGACAACTGAGCTCAGACAACACTTAGTGAAGCCGTAATGATCAAAAGACAGTATCCGTACAGTTGTAAGCATTAAGAATAGAGTTAAACCTTTTTGAAGAATGGTAGTCCGATCGTGTATCGCCTTCCGTACACATGGCTGTAGATTATAAGCATCTTTCGAAAATGGAAACGAATCATTCAGCTTTCGGTGGTATATTCTATCGAATTGTTAGCAGGGGTTGGTTTTACTTTTTGTTGTTTTCCTTCTTCTTTTTACGTCGTTTAGTTAAATGGTTTGAAAATGTTGCCAAGTGCAACAGTTTTTTTTAATACTATTTGCGGTAGTTCAGAAAGATTGCTTTATGGTAATTTATTTTCTTTTTGTCTCTAGCACTTTAAGCGCAATTTGAGCACGAGGTTAAAAAACAAAAAAACTTACACACGTAAAGATATGCCTTACGATCATCGGAAAAATTGTATGGAAGTACAAGCGTAAATAAAAAAAATAACCATAAAAACAACGTTAGTAAGTCTAAATTCTAGGTTCAAGCCTCATGACCTGATAGATCTTTGGCGTACCTTACCATTTCTCGGGGCAATGCTTTACTTAGTGGTACCTCTCTCCTCCCTAACTAACATTTGACAGGTTGTACTAGGTAACATGGTGCTATCAGTAAGAAGTGCTGTAATTACAGGTGTATAATACGCACACGTATTATTATTGTATATTATTATTGTTATTAAAACAAAAATTATTATCGTTTAAACGAATCTTTCTGAAGAAGTGTTGGATGAAAAAGGTCCCTTTAAAAGAATGCATTTCGTCCTTTTCAAAGCCATATTTATTATTATGCGTGTTATGCATTCACTGTTATTAGTCCTGACCTGGCATCTCGGCCTCAGTCACTTTCCCACCACCACAACGTAGCTTCCCTGTGCCTTTTCTATAAATATTTTCATTGTAATTGTTTTGATTAGCTTTCATCTATGGTACATATCCTTTTTGAATTTAAGCGTATTACTGGATTAGTGGTAATCCTACAGTTGAAATGGCTAGATGTTACCGGGAGTTTTATCCTAACAGTTCTTCTCTTGCACTTGTGGAACTATCTTTGAGCTTCATGCTTTCCAATGAAATCAAAAATTTAAATACAATATCAATCGTTATCTTCTGTCTTCTTAATTCCTGTTCTTTTATTCTTGCTCCTTAATAATGACTTTCTTTCTTTTCTCATATTCTCTCACACTCGGTAACCGCTTGCTTTATTGCCTTGTTTGAGGTGAAATCTTTCCCTTTTTTTTAAGTTTGGACTATGAATTTCTGAAAAAAATATATAATACGCACTGGCATTTTAGAATTTGAAGTTACTCAATTTAACGTGAATTTGACATTTGTTGTCCAACTTATATCCGCATAGTAACGACTATAAATAATCATACTTATCATAAAACCCAGGTTGTGTGTGTGTGTGTGTGTGTGTGTGTGTGTGTGTGTGTGTGTGTGTGTGTGTGTGTGTACGTTTATATATTGGATCGGATTTCCTACATTTTTCAACCGATTTCAACAAAACTTCACAGGACTTCGTAAATTTACCTTGCGGTGGTTCTGACAGCGCCAAAAATTGGAAAAACAGAATTGTTTTTGCACAAAATCAATTTGAAAACACGATTAAGGGGCATCACTACCGCCAGAATGAAAGGGGAACAACTCATATCGAGTTATACTTATTATTAAACCCAGGTTATTTGTGTGTGTGTGTGTGTGTGTGTGTGTGTGTGTGTGTGTGTGTGTGTGTGTGTGTTCATTTATATAATGGATCTTTCAGCCGATTTCAACAAAACTTCACTTTTTTTGGCAGGTAGTATTTCTTATTGTCTTGCACACTTTTTTCTTTATTCTTACATTCAGAATGCTTTAAAAATTCCATTGTTTATAATAAAATTCTATTCAATCGGTAGACTCACAACGATTGAAAACAATGTTTTTGTTTGAGTTTGGGTTTGACAAATTTGTAAAAAAAAAAAAACTAATTAAGACATGCGTGTCCGTCAACCTTAAACAATAATCTTTGTCAATTTTATTTTTCAGTCTTTATGATGGTCAATAATTGATCTATCTCTTACTGTCACATCCCCGGGCAACGCCGGGCTCTACTGCTAGTAAATTATATAATTTTTTTGTTTTGAAACACAGTATTTAGGATAAGCAACGGAATAAGTTTAGAAAAAAAAAAACAAGTTTACAGTGAAAAATAAGACTACAGAAGAAGAAACAAAATTGTAACCAAGCACATTAGGAAGCACGGTGGAGTGATGGATAGCGGCTTGGATTGAGGAATCGGAGAGCCGAGTTCGAATTCCAGTCGAGTACATTACATTCACTTACGCGCTAATGCCTTTGGCGTACTTAGGTGTGAATCCTCTTCTTCTCTCTCCAGCTATGTGTAAATAGCAGGATAGCCTTTTATGGCTGGAAGGAAATCTCTGAATTCAAAACATGCGGAGGGTCGTTTGGGGACCTTGTGGCACGTAGTAGGTCTCTGTAATCGGCCCTTCAAAAAGTGTGGATGGTCCTGCACGAAACCTTCACCACTATAATCAAATCTCATGTGCTATACATGCGGGTTGGAGACCACTTGTGAATTCCAAATTCCCATGAAACTCCAATATTGGAGCCGGCTCAACCCACAGGTACAGGTACATTCCAATAGATAGCGGTTAATTTTCTGTAATGGCGTAAAAATTGGCATTATCAATACCTCCGCGCGCAGCTCATAAAAGAACCGTTTTACCATTTCTTAGCTAGCGGCAGTCAGCTACGGCACTACTTCTCATATCTTCTCAGTTAAACTCAATCCAAATTCAAGCCAAATTCCCTAAACAAATGTAGATACCCATTGTCCTAACAGTAATAGTAATAGAAATATTCATCTACTGAGCATCCAGTAGTGCTTTCGGTTGAAATTTATAAACTCTTTCTCTTAAAAGTTTTTACGAAAACTTGGTTCTCAAGTCCAGTAGCTGTTATCGATCTTTCCAGTACTGATGTGGGTTTCATTTCTAACTTTTTATTTGAAATGGTGTGCAATGCTAACATCTAGATTATGTCATTATTTTCTCTTCTAGTTAAATGTGCTATCTATTCGAGTTGATTTTAAGAAGCGGTTATATACAGCTGCTGGTGTAAATATGTCTGACCGGCGCTACGCATGTCATCCATATGAAAGTCTCGCTCTCACGAGGCTATACTCTCTTCTAGTTACATGCTGTTCATCGCGAGATTTTCGACAAAACCCAAAGAAGGATCTTCAATGTAATCGATCCTGAATTGGCATCTTCAGTCACTTTCTCACAGATGTGACGTGGCTTCCCTCTGTCTTTTCTACAAATATTTTCATGGCAACTGTTCTATCGAGCTTTTTTCTCTGATGTCCCGACTACATACATTTAAGCGTGCTACTAGACTAGCATTGGAGATATCAACATCAAGCAATTAGATAGTATTATATAAGTCCCTTCATTTGCGACAACGAAATCTTAACACCCATTGAAATAGCGAAAGATGCCTTCCAAAATCTAAGCAAAATGCAGAAAAACAAAACAAAAAAATCTGTTAGAATCAAAGAAAAGAGTGCTGGATAGTTATGCGATATCCATCCTCTTATATGACAGTGAATGCTGGACGGATAAGAAGAAAATTGGAGCCGACAGAAATGGGGTTCTACAGAAGGATAGTGAGAATTTCATGCTTGGAGTGATTTAGCAACGTAAATGGCAACAAAAAGAGCACTTTTGCTCAGAATCAGGAAGAGCTGAAATTCCTTGGACACATAATTAGGATGGAGAGTCTTGGAAAATTTAACGCTCATATGACGTATTAGACAAGATGGCGGAAGACAGCGAACCGCCTACTTAGCGAGCTTGTGTGAATGGATGGCGGAAGGCGAGAGCAGTAGCATAAGTAAAGGGAGAAAGACTGCTAAGGGTTACAAGGGCCGGGGAGATTTGGAGCGCTATAATCGCCCACGTCTTGAATGGACGCAGCACATAGAAGAAGAAGAAGAAGAAGAAGAAGAAGAAGAAGAAGAAGAAGAAGAAGAAATAAGCGGTGAAAACGTTTAGAGTTGAGAAAAAAGTGGGAGAAGGAATAGTAAACGGTGAGAAGTAGACGGAGGAGTAAACGGTTGAAAAGTGTAAAGAAGAGAAAGAAGAAAACGACGACGACGAAAAAGAAGAAGAAGAAGAAGGTGGACGAATAATAAACTGGAAGAAGAAGAAGAAAACAATGTGAGTTAAGAAGAAAAAAGAAAAGAGTAATAGTAAACGATGAAAAGAAGAAAATAATGAAAAAGTTTAGAGTGGAGAAGAAAAAAGTGAAGAGTTAGGAAGGAAAAGAGAAGAGGGATGTTAAACAGTGAGGAGGAGGAGGAGGAGAAGAAGAAGAAGAAGACAGGAGGAGGACCTAGAACTAAGTTTGTTTGTTGCCTGCTCTACAGTCCATTTCATTGCACTTGCAACAGAGTGAGATTTTAAAGTGTACTCTTGGTTTAGTTAACACATGAAGAGGTTTTATATTCAGACTTCTTCTAGACAAGTTACCAACCACGGCTAGAATACCTAGTTTGCTTTGCTATTTAACCTATAGTCGGAGGAAGAATAGATCAATTCATATTTTTGCGAGGATATGATATATATGATTCTCTATGTGATCTGTTTCAACTTCTAAAAGGACTTCATCAGACAATGGCAATGTTCTTATTGATGGAATTATATATTTGTAGGGTGTCCCATTAATGATGGGACACATTTTAAATGCAGGTATCTTGAAATATAAAAAAAACACAGACTGCCAAATATATTTATTACATAACCGATATACAAGTGTTCAACATATTAACTAAGCTGAGGTGGTCCTGACATGGCAAATGAATATTTTCCCACCACCGTAACAGATAGAACGTGCAAGAGCTCGCTTTTTCATTTCAAACACATCGCGGCTTAGCATATCAACTGGCATGGATGCGATCTCTCTACGGATGCTTTGTTTTAATTCCACAGCTGTGTGGGGCTTTACCACACAGCCGTGGAAAATAAACAAAGTATGAAAGGAAACTGTGCCAGGATTTCCCACACAGTTGTAGAACTAAAACAAAACATCAGTAGAGAGATCGCACCCATGACAGTTGATATGCTAAGCCGCACTGACTTTGCTAAGTATGCTTGTTGAGCGGCATATCAACTTTTCATGGGTCATTTAATTCCAAAATTTAATTTTTCTTGCGGACATTAGTAATTTCTTTTAAGAAAATGTATTGCTGACAATTATTATCATTTTTTTTTTTTTTTTTTTACAAAAAATGTGTCGTTGGTAATTTTTTTACTATAAAAATGTATGGCTGGTATATTTAATAATTTTTTTTTTGAGGGGGGGACTATTTACCCATAGCTAGGACCCTAACAGTTATTACCACTCCAAATCAGGGTGAATCTGGGAACAACAGTAATTAAGAAGTGGTTCCATGCTCCTCAAAAAACCTCCTAATCAGAGACCTTGCTGCCGGATGTAGTTTATCGTCATACCCAGAACGTGTTAAGCCGCGCTGTGTTTGAAATGAAAAAGCGAGCTGGTGTATGTTCGTGGTGGTGACCATTTCCGGAATGTAATATTCAAATCTTAGGTAATATTTTGAACTCTATATATATATATATATATATATATAATTTATATATTTATATATATATATTTATAAATGTTTAATTTGCATTTAAAATGTGTCTCATCATCATGGGACACCCTACATATATATATATATAGATCTAAGAACACACAGGGGTCCTTAAAAGATAAGAATGCCGATAACTCTTTCACCATTTCTCGGACCAATCTTAATTGTTTTATAACCCTTCTCGCAGAAGTTTTCACTGCCAGTTCAAGAAAGACATTTGGGTCACTAACACAAAAAAAGAATGTCTCATATCGAGAATATTTAACATCGAAAAACATAAGAAAAAAAATTATTATTTTTAATAATATGTGGAAATCTCCATGCTTTGCCTGATGAAGATCTCGATACCAGAAACCCGTTTTAGTAAAATATGGAAAATAAAGCATAATATTTTTTTAAAAATCCATTACAACCAAAAAATGTTTGCGGCTCTTTTTTTTAATATACACACTTTTCTCTCGTTGGAATGGCTATAACCTCTTTATATATATATATATATATATATATATATATATATATATATATATATATATATATATATATATATAATATTTATGTGTGTATGTGTGTGTGTGTGTGTGTGTGTGTGTGTGTGTGTGTGTGTGTGTGTGTGTGTGTGTGAATAAAATAAAATTTTTTAAATTTCAAATAAATAACAATATTAAACCAAATGTATTAAAGTGGAAGACGTTTACTTGTGACGCGGTTCGTTCTTCAGGACCTCAACAGACTAAATTTATTATATTTATAATGTTAGACATTTCCATATATATCGTCCGTATATATTGAATCTAATTGGCAGTGAATATTTCGGAGACAGTAGGAAAAAGCGTACTTTAGGTTCGCAGTGGATATCACAGCAGATGTAGTTCATCCTTCTCCTGGTCGACTTTGGTCCTTCCGGTAGACGAAATAAAGATGGCCGCCTTTATACACGACGAATACAGTGTTGGGCGGCTTCTGATTGGTCAACCTTCCATTGGTCGATTATAAAGGGAAATAAGTCATTCTGACTCGATCACTAGTTATATTAAATTTATATACCCAAAAACCGTAACACAGTACGAATCAAAAAAAATGAGCACGAAAATGGGATGCTTAAATATTTTTTTTGTTTTTTATATATTATATTTTTTTATTTATTGTCATTATTTTTTTGTTTTTTTTTCATTTAAATTAAATGAAATCATAGATATAAAAAAAAAAAATATTTTAATAAATAATCTGTAAAATTTCCAGCACCTTTCTTTCATTTTTTGTTTTTCATTTAAATAATAAATTTAGTCCGATGAAGACCTGAAGGATTTTTGCATCAAAAAAAAACCTTTACCACATTGTCATTTTTTCCATTATATATATATATATATATATATATATATATATTATTTATATATAAATTCATTTAAATGGTGATTATAATACGTACGCAGGGGAAACACTAAAATGTAGAGACGCTAAATTTGGAACGCTATTGAAGAATATTAATTATTTTGGATTGAATGGAAATTAAGGCTCAAATTGAGTAATGGTAGATTTCGAGTTCGAATTTTAGTCAGATCCATTACATTTTATTCATTGCTTATAATTATTTTTTAAAAAATATGAATCCTCCATATTCTTTCCCGACCCCACAAAGCTATGGCTAAAGACAAAACAGACCGGGTTCTATATAAACATTTTAATTATTTTTTTTTATCTACCGCAAAAAAAATGGCAACCTATTATTTCGGAAAAAAAAATGCCTCTTCAGTCATGTATCGAAAAATACATTGATCGTCTAATTTATCATCATAATGGCACATAAAATAGAAGGACAGACCGATAAAACTTAGCCTTGGATGGCAACTGGTCTACCGCAGAAAGGAATGAAATTTATATGTTGTTTGGAAAAAAAATATTTGGACAAAAATGTCAGTCATGTATCGAAAGATACAAGATCGTCTAAGCGTGCATCACGCATGGCACATAACTTACTGATTGAAGAACAAGAGCGATAAAAAAAAGAAGTCTAAAATCTTGTAAGTTTGGCGGCGCTAAAATGGCTGATTCTTTGTATTTCTCCAGTAAATACCTCACTCCTACTGGCACGTTCTATCTTTCAATGTCTCAGATCAGACCTTTGCTTATAGAAATTAGTCCTCAAAATCCATATGAAAAATTGCTGTTCAAAGAAAAATAAAAAAATGGACTTGTAGGTGATTAATTATTTCCCAATGCAAACCCTCTCTTTCAATTAGAAAAAAAGCTTCTCACTATTCTAATATATCAATTGCTAAAAAAAATGTTCTAACGATTTAGATACCTTTAGTCCCACCATCTCAGACCATCAGAACTAGGACGAGCCATGCCATATTCAATATAGAAAATCAAAATTTTCCCTTTTTGTTTAATTTTGAATAAGGAACGCGTTCCATTCAAAATTTCTTTCGTCAGAGCTGTTACTTTATGGAACAGACTGCCGTTTTAAATATTCCCTTGTCAATCGGTTTTTTTTTCTTATTTTTAATTTTCTGGGACAACCGAAAAACTATTTTTTTATTCTCATAATATGCGCATCCCCCACTTACAACAATCTCACTCAGTAACACTCTACTTTGACTGGCTCTTGTGCCTTGTATTAGGTGAAGTAAAGTAAAAGAAAATCACTTTGTCCGCTAAATACTGTTAAAGGTGTAAACTTATCTAATTCAACAAAATACAGGAAGCTGTGGAGATTCGTGATCGCTCACCTACTGAAAAAGTAAACGATATAAAAGAAGAACACAGCTTCTTCCTCAGAACTGTTACTTTGTGGAACAAACTCCCGTGATGATGCTTCCCTGACAACTACAGTCGTAACCCCTTCAAGTCCTGGGACAAAAATGATAACTATCTTTTTATCCTCATTTAAAATATGATTTTCTCCCTCCCTTGCAAATTTAATTTTAACTAAATGAAAAATGATTTTTTTTTCTTATGCCTTGTATTGAGTGAACTAGAGTAAAAGAAAATAATTTTGTCCGCTAAATTCTGTCAAAGGTGTAAAATTATTTAATTCAACAAAATACAGGAAGTTGTGGAGAGTAGTGACCGCCCACCTACTGAAAAGGTATACTATATAAAAGAAGAATAAGTTGTTGATATTTATGTTCTAAATATATTATCAATCATTATTTTAAGTTTTAAATATGGAACACTATTTGTTAACACGATATTTCGTCATTTTTTTCATATTTTTTTTCATATTTGCTTTTTAAAAACTACATTTCCAGATCATAATTTATACGACGTTAGTGATTATCATGAAAAATGTAATGATTTCGTTTCCCGCCATTATTTTCCGACTTGATAACATGGCGTTTACGATTCGATGCGTCATCATCTGCGCCATGATGTCGTTTCACGTCTTCGTTTCTTAATGTTTAATCATATGGTCTTTTGTTTATTTTCTTTAACGTAATAATTTAATGCCATAATTTCTCGGTTGCCTGATACACTGTAGTTTTGATGTTGGCGACCATCTTTATTTTATTATCGACTTTTGCACTTTCGCGTGATGTTTTGAAATATTAATGAATATTTATGCTAAATATACTCTTGGGACTTACTAAGCTCTTTCAAGTTCAGATAAATATACAGGTTGGTCTAAAAGCGACTTTCTTACTTTTAAAATGTAGGCACTACTTAAATAGATTGGTCCACTCGTAAAAAAGTATGGAAATTATTTCGGGAAATAATTTTCGGAGATTAGCATTCTTCAGACCATCCTTAGACCGCGGAACGTGCCAGAATCGGAAAATATTGATTTTTTTCATCGATTTAATAGGAGGTCCTGTTTATAAGATCTATACTGTGTTAAATCGATCCCTGACTTTTACAGAGTTATTCGATACAACTCTTTTGCATACGAAAACATAATTTTTAGGTCCTGCTACAAAATTATTTCTTTCAAATAAGAACATATGAATAAAATGTTTGTGCATATGCTTCCGAAAAAACCAATGCAATTTAAAAAAAAAATTAAATTAAATTTAAAAAAAGGTTAAAATAAATTCAGAAAATTTTAAAAAAGTATGCAGATATCTACGATGTCGCCACACTTTCAAACTTGAATTGTTAAATAACTCTGTAAAAGTCATGGATCGATTTCACACTTTATCGATATTAAAAACAAGACCACTTTCTATAATGATAAAAAAAATCGACATTTTTCAATTTTGTCAAATGACGCGAAAAAATTTTAGAGGTTTAATGAATGTTCATGTACAAATGAATTTAAAAAGAAAAAATATTTCCAAAATTTAATTTTATTTTTTAGATCAAGAAATAATTTAGTTAAGTAGATGGCAAAATAAAAGCGAGGAATTCTAAAATAATTTAAATGTTGCATTTTCCCAGGTCCAAAATTTCATAAAAAAATTTCCAAATTACCTAATTAAAAGCTACTTAAATTTAATGGAAATGAATTCAACAATACATTTTATAGGTTTATCGTTTACCAACAATACATTTTATTTGTTAAAAGATTTATAATTAATTTTTTTTAAATATATTTAATTGAAATTGAAGAATTAAAATTCTGTTAAAATATTTAATTTCGGCATTAAATAACCCATAGAGATGATATAACAGACTGATACGACGAGAAAAACAATAATTCCTCCTGATTAGCAAAAAATTTCTGTAGTAAAAAGGATTAGAAAATTACAAGAAGACAGAATATAAAATAGCCTTATTACTTAGATGAGCCCGAAATGCGATTTGCAGGTCGGAAACACTAGAATCAAGCAGACGCGGAAGGTTAAATATCTGGAAAGCGTTCTGACAGAGGATGGTAAATGCGACACTTATATCCGTAGACGTATTGGGATGGCCAAAGACGCATTCCAAAAGCTGGGAAGAGTATTGCGAGACAGGAGGATTTCTTTGGTAACGAAGAAAAGAATACTCAGCTGTTACGTGACATCTGTCCTTCTTTACGGCAGCGAATGTTGGACGATTTCCTCAAAGATGAAGAAGAGACTCGAGGCGACGGAGATGTGGTTCTACAGAAGGATGCTAAGGATATCATGGACCGAGCGTGTGAGCAACGATGAGGTCTTAGAGAGGTTACAAACAAGGAGGAGGCTTATACTTAACATCAGGAAGAGGCAGCTGAAGTTTCTGGGACACATAATGAGGAAGGAGAGCCTGGAGAATCTGATACTCACGGGTCGAATAGCGGGAAAGAGAGACAAGGGAAAACAACGCATGACATACCTAGCGGCCTTAAGCAAGTGGATGACAGAACGTTGTCTGGGGGAGGTGGCAGAGGGAAGGAACTTGTTGAGAGCTGCAAGGGATAGAGGGAGGTGGAGAGCCATGATCGCTTACGTCCCGAAAGGATACGGTACATAAAAAGAAAAGAAAGTGTGCATTAATTCCTCACTTATTCCATCTTTGTGCGCTCTTACAACAACCTCATTTGATTGACCCTTAGGCCATGTATAATAATCAAAAAAAAAGTCCTAAGAAGAGTATTTTGACATGATATTTAATATCTAGAAATCAATGGTTTACTTTATTGGTTTGCTAGAAAAGAGATGCTATGGTTTAAATATTGTCAAAAATATCTTCAACGAAGATAAAGTTGAAATATTTCAAATATTCATTCATTACATGACCACCGTAATAAAATGTTATACAGGGTGCGTCTGAAAAATATCCTATATTTTAATGGTCGACAAAATGACCAAGGTAACTGCTATTTAAAAAATTATTTCACTGATTTTTCAACAACGGCCTACAATTTTTTATTCATTTGTTTTTTAAAATGACATTTTCCCAATGCTGGCCTCTATTCGCCATACACTGTTATATTAGGTTGGTGCAAAAATAATGACGTAATGATGTCGTTTTTGACGCTAAAAATACGTCCAAAACGACATTATTACGTCATTATTTTTTGGAAATTAACCTAATCGATAATTTCAAAAGGATTTCCATTGCCCGGAAGTTTGATATTTCTCAGAAAATCATCAATTGCCTTTTTTAAATGAACATGAACCTGTGGGCCTCAACTCTTTAACCCATAGCAGTATCTATTTTCTATGGACGTAACATGAAATGAGCACGAAAACCCAGTCTTAAAAAAATCGTTTCAACAGCAAAAGCATGGTGTGCGTCAGTTCAAGCCATTGTGTTATCTGATGGTATCTGAAAAAATTCTTAGACATTAGCTAGATGAAGACACTATTGCCACTTACCTAACTTCACTATCAGCTTACGGCTATATCACTTTAAACACTGTTGGAACACCGAAGTTAAGCAAAGTTGAGCCTGGTCTGTACCTAGATGGGTGACCGTCCGGGAATATCCGGCGCTGTAAGCCAACCTCAGTTAGAGTACCCAGTTTACTTTTACTATTTAACCTATAGCCGGAGGAAGAATAGATTAATTCATATTTTTGCGAGGATATGATATATATGATTCTCTATGTGATGTGTTTCGACTTCTAAAAGGACTTCATCAGACAAGTGCTTTGATATGTGGGGGGGTGTAATGGATAATAGCTCGGAATTGTCAATCGGAGATCCGAGTCCCAATTCCTCTTGGGTTCGTTATATTCACTTACACACACATACCATTGGGAAAGGTATGAATCCACCTTTTCTCCCCCAGCTATGGGTTAATTAGTAAGATTTATATCACTAAACCATTATTATCTCAAAAATAATTCTTACTATCTAAGACTTTCTTTTCTGGCTTTAAATAACCTGCAAGGCGTTGATAAGCCGTAAACGAATCAATCAAATCAAACGCTGCAACACCGGTTTAAAAAAATAAGTTCATTGGAACCACACAGAATGTGAGGGTGATGTAAGGCATAACGGCTTGAAACTGGAAATCGGAGAGTTGAGTTCCAGATCCAGTCGGGTTTGTTATAGTCACTTACGAGTAAATACACTTGGGAAAGGTATGAATCCATTTCTTCTCCCCCAACTACGGGTTAATTAGTAAAACTTGTATCAGTAAATCATTATTATGAAATGATGCAAGACTGGTTCATAAAAAAAATAAGTTCCCTAGCACCACGCAAATGACTTTTTTAAATGTAGGAGGTATTTCTGCCGCACCTTGTGTTCTGTATAAAGTTTATCCAAGATGTATTTCGGTTTTCAGAAAATAATTTCATATTTCACTACAATCAACCAAAGTAAAACCAAAGTTGAATTATATGAAAATGCGTCTAGAATTAGTTTAGCAGGAGAGCCCGGCGTTGCCCGGGGATGTAACAGTAAGAGATAGATCAAGTATCGACCCTCATAAAGACTGAAAAATAAAATTGACAAAGATTATTGTTTAAGGTTGACGGACACGCATGTCTTAATTAGTTTTTTTTATTATTTTTGTTTTTTTTTTACGAATTGGTCAAACCCAAACTCAAACAAAAACATTGTTTTCAATCATTATGAGTCTATCGATTGAATAGAATTTTATAATAAACAATTGTCTTGTAAATGGAATTTTTAAAGCATTCTGAATGTAAAAATAAAGAAAAAAGTGTGCAAGACAATAAGAAACACTACCTGTAAAAAAAAAGTGAAGTTTTGTTGAAATCGGTTGAAAAATGTAGGAAATCCGATCACATATATAAACGAACACACACACACACACACACAATCTCGTCCCCCTTTCATTCTCGCGATGACTCTTCTTAATCGTGTTTTCAAATTGATTTCGTGCAAAAACAATTGTGTTCTTCCAATTTTTGGCGCTGTCTGAACCACCGCAAGGTAATTTTAGGTAGTCCCGTGAAGCTTTGTTGAAATCGGTTGAAAAATGTAGGAAATCCGATCCAATATATAAACGTACAAACACACACACACACACACACAATCTGCGTTTTATAATAAGTAAGATTAATATCTGCCAGGTTCACGGCTAGGACCCGCCATGCCACTTACATAGTAGCAATCTACCGACATTCCCCCCGTATATCATCGGTGAGAAGTTCCGCAAACAGTTTCTTCCCGCGAACCACTGCCTCTGTGGACAGACACCGAAGAGGATGTTTCCCTTGTCATCATTATTCGACCGTAGTCGGGAACATCGAGCTATTGCGAACGATCCTTTCTTTAGCTGCATACTATCGGACTACATACAATTTTGAATTCAGAGTTACTTTCTCCTAGATCAGTTGCCACCCAAGGCTATAGAACCCGGTCTGTTCTTCTATTTTACCCATAGCTAGGGGGAGAAGTAGAGGATTCATACTATTCCCAAGGGTATATAACACGTAAGTGAATATAATAGATCCGACTGGAATTCGAATCCAAGCCGCTATCCGTTACTCTACTGTGCCTAACACTACAATCTTAACCTGTTCAAGTCTAGAGTTAACCGTTATCTTCCCCCTCCTATCCGTATAGACTGCCCCTCAACGTAACCCTCTATATCAAGTGTCCCCCAGGACTTGTACAAGTCGAACATTACTGTAAAAAAAAAATCTTCTTCTGTTTGATAGTGTGCATTTTAGAGATGAGCTGTGAAAAAATTACTTGCAAAAGAGATCGGGGAATTTGATTGATTTCTTGTTGAATTGCTTGTTACCCAGAAGGTCTTTCTTTTTTTTTTTTTTTTGCATGGCCTGGGGGTAGAGGCAATCAGATCATTCGGGCATGGTAAATACGCCTGTTCAGATTTGGCTCCTTACGACTTCTGGCTTTTTTCCACGGCTAAAATCGAGTTTCACACGTCGCGGCTGAGATTAAGGTGGCGATCCCGATTTTGGAAATGTGGAAAAGCATGTAAAAAAAAAAAGGAATATTTTGAAGAGGACTAAGGCTGCATTGCTGTTTCTTTTTAGTTCATATTAAATGACCGGATTCTTTTCAGCAGAACTCGGAACAAAATACTTCTGCACAAAATTGATCCTCGAACTATAGATGCCGCGATGCTTTTCCCCCTAAAGATTTAAATTGGAAAGTTTTTAAATAATTAACAACACTTTTCCTCACCGCGAGTGTATTGTGAAAAAGCTACGTCAGAAACATTTACGCTATTATTTTAGTTTAGAGATTTATTCGTCATGAATTGAACATCGTAAGAGCCCCTATTGCATCCTGGATTCTGACATTGATTGCTACGTTTAAAGCGGAGGTTCTTAACGGATGCTGCGAGACAGGTATGTAAGAGATGCCGGTATGTTCTGACGCAAACATCGTTGATCTTAGGAATGTGAAGAAAAATTATATTTCTTTTGTGACATTAATGATGTAATTACACCAACTTTGAGGCGAGCGGCTGTGACAAGTCTCTGACAGTGAGATTTCTGGAACGGTTCTCAGTTTGATGTGGAGGAATAAATTCCGTTGTTTGTTCAACAGAAAAGCCGATTTCTCGTCACTCTGCCTTATCAAACGTAACTAAAGCCTCGCCTTAAACCTAAAACCTGGCCCTGTATAGAATGTACTGCCAATTCTTTTGTAGCTGCTCCGTTGTGCCCTTTGATGTTACGGAATAAATTTCTTTGTTTGTTTAACAGAAGAACTGATTTCTTGTCGTTCCATTTGTTTGCCAGAATTTACGAAATCCTAGACTTTACCATAAAATCTGTCTACGTACAAGATTCAATATCAATACTTTTGTAGCAGTTTGATGTCAAGGAATGAATTTCATTGTTTCACATACAAGCCGCTTTCCCCATATTCCGCCAGATCAGAATCAATCAAATCCTAGCCTTTACCCTAAAATCTAATTTTACAAGATGCAGAGACAAGTTGCTATTCGGTCGGCGGTTGATCTCAAAATCACACCGAAAAACTGTTGTTAACTGGGGCAAGGAATGATTTGTTAACTTTAACGCCTCCTAAACGAAACAGCTTTCTATTGATAATCTGAGAGACGCCTTTCTGCCTCCCATCAGCATGAAGTGGAAAGATTACATTGAATTGTTGTCTGCTGATAAGAAAGTGGGTTCATTGCCACGTGTTAGATTTTTTTTTTTCTCTCTGGAATCTATCTTAGATATTTATAAGTTTACCATGCACCCATGCTTCGAATATTGCTCTCAGATATGAGCTAATGCTCCTGCTATATATTTAGAGATTCTTGATAAAATCCAAAGAAAAATCTGCAATGCTATTAATCCTGACCTGGCATCTCGGCTTCAGGCTCTTTCCCGCCGCTGTACCCTAGCTTCCCTGTGACTTTTTTAATAAATACTTTCATGATTCTTGTTCTGAAGAACTTTCCCCATCCCCTCCCTCGTTAGGTGCTCAGTTCGCTGGTGGATGCGAGGCGCCTTTCGTTTCGCATGAGTGGTTTTTCGTATTTGTTATTGTGTCTGAATGAGTGCATGTCTGTGTGAGTGCTTGGGATGAATGAATGTTTTTTTATACTATTATAGTCCCGCTTTGATTTCGGCCATTGAACTGATGTTTCTGCCACATTTAGTGATTGTGGGGGGTTTATTACTAATCTTATTTTCTTTAGTTTCTTGTAAATAGTTTTTGTATTCATATATGTAAATACTCATTGGGGCTAGTTTTTAGAATTGTTGTTTTATTCCCCTCCCCCCCACAGACAACGAATTGTAAATATGGGGACTAGTTAGTATTTTCATAAGAGACAATGAGGTATGATAGTGGTTGTAGTAAGAAAGGTACGTATGAATGTGTTGTTTTGGTGTAAGGAATATTGTTCGTACGATTGGGTCAGTGTTTGCGGCTAGCTAAGTTATAGTTAAGACAGAAGAAGACCGTCCTTTTCCCAATCCACACCCTTAGGCTATGTGCCACATTTCTGTATTAAACAGAATAAATATCACTTTTCTCAATGGTATCTTGGCATTTTATGAATTTAAGCTCAGTACAAAGTTGGCAAAACGGTCTCATTATTTTTAAGTTGAAATGGCTTATGTAACCGCAAATTCTTTGCTAACAGTTTCTTTCTCGCACTTCTATTCTGCGGAACTCTCTTCCGGCTTCTTGCTTTCCAACCAACTTTGATCTTCAAAAAATTAAATGCAATGTCAAGCGGTATCTTCTGTCTTCTTAATTCCTCTTCTTTTATCGTTGTCGTTCCTTAATAATGTTTTTCTTTTTCTTATTCTTTTACACTCAGTAACCCCCTTGTGTCTTAGTGGCTTTATTACCTTGCTTGGCATGAAAAAGAACCTTTGTTAGACACTTTCATGTAACAAAAATCGATTTGTACTTCTGTTGCATCAGAAGTAACGTTATCATCTTTTATGCGCCTTAGGACGTGGATGATAATGACTCTCCTCAACTTCCTATCCTTTGTAGCTCTAATTAATGTTAGTCTCTTTATTGTTTCTACCAGTCCCTGTTCTGTCACCCATTTACACGTTAAAAAGGTTACTCTCT